TGCCAAGACAGGGCTGCTTCTGCCCAGGTGCATGTCAGCAAGCTGATACCTAGATCCTTTGTGTCCTTATAATTACTCAGCTTGATCCGAGTGCATTCCCTGGCAAGACAGCAAGTCCATAAAGGTCAGAAATACATTTCTTTGATTGTGCCTGAATGGCATGGAGTTAGGCTGACTGGGCCTGTTTACTAACTAGGGCAGAGACTCCTCAGCCTGTCCCACCCTGGCATCCCATCTGCCCTGGCTCTGGGCTCCCCTGCCTGCTTCCTCCAGAGGGGCCTGCCCTCAGCTGCCACAGGAGGGCTCACAACAAAGCTGGCTCCTCCCTTAGCACCATTTCCTCTGCATCTCCAGCCTGGCCTGGCCTGAGACAGAGCCTCAGTTACCTCACAGCCCCTGGAAGCTAGAGCTTCATCCGTGCCTCTGGCCTGGGACCATTTTCTTGTGGAGGATTTGACTTGTGGGAACTTCTTCTGCTGCTCTTGCTGGCTGGTCCACTCCTTTCCCAGGGTCAGCAGGAGCCATGCTGTGGGCTCTAGCCCTGCTCCTGGCTTTCCTGGATCCCTGTAAGTACACAGCAGAAGCTCAGGGGATTTGTATTTTGTGGCAGTGGGAGGCCACCTGAAGGGATTCAAGCTACCTCTGTCTCATTATTGATTTTCTTCCCTTTGCAGCCAGTCCGATATCCTTCAGCTCAGAAGGGAGAAAGATGTCAGTAACCAGGAGGACTGGGTTTTTGGCTGAAATCACCTGTGATATTGTTGACCAAAATGTCAACTACATCCACTGGTACCGACACCGAGTGGGAGAGGCCCCCCACCGCCTTCTCTACTATGAGTTCTCTGGCTCAAAAACTGTGGTGGAACCTGGAATCAAGTCGGAAAAATACCGTCTTTCTGCAACCTCAGGAAAAACCTCTAAATTAGTTGTTCGAAATGTTGAACAAAGTGATGCTGGGATTTATTACTGTGCTGCCTGGGACACCCACAGTGGCTCAGACTCCCCTCTTGACTGCACATAATTGTGCTTGCAGCTGCCAGCCCAGCCCTGGGACAGGATGGACCAGCTGCTGCCTCACTGCCTGCCCTGACTTCCCTGCACTCAGCAGGAATAGAGCCCTGAGTCAATGTCCAGTTATATCCTTATGTCCACTCTCTGTCCTCTCCAAACTGTGAGCTCTAAGACTGTCCTAAGGCCTGAGCTCCCTTCTCCAGCTCATAGGAAATCAGTGTGGCACATGGATCCTTTCAGCTCTCCCAGTGGCTCCTGCTCCCTGGACTGACAAGTTCTCCTCTGTTCATCTATTAGAGACAAGGGAAGAACCATGTGGGAAGGCTGGTTGTGCTGAGACACTGACCTGTTATTATTCAGTAGTGAGGGCTGGGAGTGGAGCTTATTCATCTGTTAGGTTAAGAGAAAGGGAAGGAAACTTGTGTCTACATGGAGACCTCAACAGTGGAAGCAATGTGTTATCTTTAGCACAACTGCTGTTTCTGTCACGACAAGCAACCATGGCATTGTTACTGTAGTGGAAGCATGAGAAAACTGATTGATGTAGACATCCAGTCTTTGTGATCTTAGGCACTCTGATTTCCTTCCTTCATGACAGCCTCATGCATGGAAGCTGCAGGAAGACACAGACAGAGACTAAGTTCGTCCCCCTCATGTCATAATATCTCTCCTCAGTAGTCAACTGATTCTTGATCAGAACCTCCCAACTCTACCTGAGGACTCTTAGAGCTGGATGACCTTTGACTGTGTCCTGCCCAGATTCCTTCCCTATTTTTTTTTTAATGTGTATCTGTTGTAGATGAATTATCACCTTTCCTGCCACTTAGACAACAGAAGTGGGAAGGGAAACAGGAGACGGAAACACATGTCACCCGTGGAAACATATTTCTAGAGCCAAGTCAGGGCTGCTTCTGCCCAGGTGCATGTCAACAAGCTGAAATCTTGAATCTTATGTGTCCCTATAAATTCTCTGCTTGACCAGAAACACATTCCCTGGCAAGGCAGCAAGTCCCTAAAGAATCAGAAAACTGCTGTGGTTTCCACTTCTATTCAAAAATAGTTAAAGTATGCAATGCAATGAGACCAGTCAATATAAGCCCAATATTACTTGTCATTATTCTCCAGTGACTGCTACCCTTAACAGGAAGTCCACCGCTCCCCTCCAGCTGATGGCGCCCTGTCTACCTGTTGCTCCTTCTAGTGTTCTGTTAAAGAACTTATGTGCCCAAATATCCCTTGAGAAGCACGAGCCCCTTAGATGAACTCTGTTCTCGGTCCATGCTTTGTGTCGCCTTGAATACAAGACAAACTCATTACTGCATTGTCCTTTGAGGTGGGTTTGGAGAGGTGTTGGGTTCAGAGAGCAGGATCCTGGTATCACCTCTGAGAAAAGTTTCATCCATAGCCTCTTTTCAGTAGCTTAGGACACATTATTGATTAGGTCGAGGCATTTTGTTACTTCCACAAACACAGGCTTATCATATTATAAAGAGAAAGGACAGAAAAGGATGCTTGCACAGGCTTGGTAGGGAGGGATGTGGTGGGGCAGAAAAATGCTCCAGAAGGGGACAGGTGTGCTCAGAGAGGCCTGCACAGTCACTGGTGGGCAGCCTGGAGGAGGCTGCTTTGCTGCTTGGCCAAGGACGATGTTGGGAGAAAAGCAGGGTGGGCAGGAGAGCTGCATGTTGTCAGTGCAGAAATGGTACTGACACCGTGACCCTTTGGGAGCAGTGCCTTCCTCTGTGGGATTTTTAAGGGTTAAATCAATAACTTCTGGCACCTAAGGACTTTTTCCTATATTTGGTTTCACTAACTTGATTTGAAAAGACACGTGATTGTTTTACAATGGCCCCCTATCCACATACCCCATCTCTGTAATGCCCCATGGAGAGCCTGCGTTTCTTAGCCTGTTTAAGGACCATGGTAACCATTTTTACCCTCACCCGCAGTTTTTGTTTTTGTTTGTGGAGCCAGTTTCTCCTCTGGTGACACCTGCTCCCCAAATTTTCTACTCTTTGCCTTCATCATTTTATATTTGTAGTTAACATATCAAAAAGGGTATCTGGTTGGGGGTGAGCGGTAGACTAGCAAGAGTGATGGCTAATTATGGTCACAACTGTGAAGATTTCACTTGCACAAATTGGACAACAATGGTTATATACAGTATCAATTGAGTAAGTAGTTTTATCTGTTCTAACTGTCTCCAGTTCAATTTTGGCTTCTACCTTTGCATACACACACAGCACTAACCTACCTGATTCTCCAACACTGTGAACTTCTCCAGAACCCCAGAAATGGCCCTGGAAACCAAGTGGAAACATTTCCTGAGTAGGTTCTATGTACCTGGGACAGGGCTACGCGCTTTGCTCAGAAGCCTGTTTACTGTCCGTGAGACCCTATGAAGCCCATTTGTAAGTGAGGAAAAGGAGGTGAAGTGACTTGGCTGCCACTGCACATTACACATCAGGTCACTGAAGCCCATTTTCTCTGGCCTCATGAGACCTCTGCATGAAATGGCCCATTGTTAGCTCAGACTGGGCCACATCTTAATAAGAGATTGCTGTTCTGGGCTTGTCCCTTCCTTTAAGCAAGAAGCCAACAGCAGTCCTTTGTTTTATTAGGATTAAGTGGCTAAATGAAGCCTGAGTCTTCAGTCAGACTTGGCTTCATAGCCCAACTTAATTTCCTGTAGCTGAGCAGCCATGAAAAACTTCAAAAAGTTTTTTAAAAAACTTAAAAAAAAAAAAGAAAAAGAAAAAGGGCTTGATTCACAGCAGTGACACTTCTCTGGCCAGGGTTCCACTGTCCACCAGGGAACTAGCCCACATGAGGCACAATGGACCTCTCCTGTGTCTCCGGCTGCTCCCCTTAGTGTATTTGATTATTCTTCTCCCCACTCTGATTGTTCTGCTCCCCACTCTATCTCCTGTGGATCCTTTCACCTCCCTCCCACCCCTGATCTATACCTCAGTTCTTCTGTGCAAAATTAAGTAAACTGTAAACTGTAAACTGAAGATAACAATATTGATCCCATTGGGTTATTTTCAGGACATAATAAAACAATGAATATAAACCATTTAGTTCAGTGCTATAGGATAAATGGCCAATCAAGAACAGCTCTTTTGTTATTATTCTCCCAACTTTCTAGAGCATTTCTCAGAACTGTCATATTTGTGAGCCTCCTCAGCCTATGTGGTCAGCTCTCAATCTCTCCTCAGCCCTCCCTCTTCCTTCCCCCTCTCTCTACCATTCACCTGCTGGCACCAGCCAGGAAGCAGCTGCTCAAGTCCCA